TGATTATAATTCATTGCCCAAATAGGAAATAGTCAGTTCTATACATCCACTGGTGTTAAGCATTATAATAGTTCTATTATTTCAAATCTTACAGCAAGGTCTATTTACCAGAACTTAATCATATACACCATATGTGTATATAACTGGAATAACTAAAGGTTTTAAAGTAACCATATTTTTATTAATGCTTTTTACTTCTTCCCATCTCAATCTACTTGTGTCCTGATTATAACAAGCAATAACGTTCTACCAACAACTTAGAACATCTACTAGTTAATTAAAATACTAAAACGATTTTTATGTCAATTTATTTATTTGAAGTCAAATACTCAAAACAGTTTTATAATATTAATTGTGTAGATTATATGCAATAAGTTTTTATTTTCAGACATTATTATTGATTTGAGTTATTTTCAAGTACGATTTCATTTGTTTAAAAATAATTTTAATTTTTTTTTTTTTTTGATTTTTATTGCAAATCAAATATTGACACTCAACTAACTACGCATGATTTGTTGCGAAGTTGTTAATTTTAATCTGCGTTAATCAAACACGAATGCAAACACATTTAGTTAATCACCATTAGGCAATTCTTTATGAATTTTTAGTTGTTTTCAGAAAATGACAGCAACATTTTTCATTTCGTATCTGTTGTTGCCACATTTGTATTTCAGTTTCATTCTTTCATATGGTTTTTTTGCAATTTATTGTGTTTCATGAAAAAATCAACACAAATCTCAATGAAAACTACTCAAAAATTTAAACAAATTTATGCAGCAACAACAACAAAAACAATAAACAACGACAACAACAATAAGAAAACGAACAACAAGCACAAATGCGTTTTTATTGAAAAAATATCACGCATTATTTATGATTGTAATGCATGTAATTCGTATGCTAATGATAAATATCTACAGCATAAAATGTTTATAAACAATTTTTTATGTCAACATAAAAATATATACAAATCAATAAATGACAATAAAAGCAATAACAACAAATCGTGCGCATACTCAAGTACACATGTGCATAAGTGCATCTGTGCATCTATGCATCTATGCCAATGTGCCGATGTGCAAATGTGCGCATAAAAAATCTTTGCTCAAAACATTAGAAATTCTCACGCACCTTCACAGCCGCAAAAATCAAGTTCAAATGCCCGACAAGCGAACTCCAGCGTTTGGTCAATTGACATCTGAAAAACTGGCAACTTTAAGATACAAAAGATTCGAGCTCGTTTAAAATGTGTTAAGTGTAACATTAAACCGCCAACGACTGCTGCAACTGCAGGCGGACGCATTGACAGCGGTCAGCACGAGCGTTGGTCATGCGCTTTACTTTTTTATGTGTTCATTTTAGTTTCTAATAAAGATAATTTACTTAAATGTAGCTTTTTAGCTTGACTGTTTAGTTACAAATACAGTGACGGTGGTACTTATGGATACACCTGTTATAGACTAATATATAGTCGGAATATAATGAGATTTATCAATATACACAGAACGCTAAATACGCATTCAATTAACTTTATTTGTTTACAAAATTTAATAACTTCAAAATCATAAAATTTGAGTTCATATAAATAAATCGCAAACTACATTAGACATCCCAGGCATTCTAATATTGTGAGAAATGAGCGCGCTGACGAGTTTGCTAAAGTAGGCGCCTCTTCCACGGATACACCTATTCGATCCCTGTCAGTTACGGTCGTAGGCTGATTTATGCCTGTCGCAAAAAGTGAGTGGACCCTTACTGCATCAGCAGCCACGTGGCCAATCTATTAAAAATATAGAACCTCTAACTTAATCTGTAGAAACAAATCTGAGGTATCTAGGCTAATATCTGTCTTAACAGGACACTGGTCCATAGGACGGCATGCAGCTTATAGTACCAAAATACCTTTGGTACTTCTTATAATGAGTGTATGCCAACTCTTGAGGAAATGACACCAGAACACCTGATGTGTCTTTGTCCAGTTCTGGCCAGAACTAGGTTTAAGTGTCTAGGGGCCCAATTCTTCAATTCACTTGACGATATCTCCATCATCAGCATTAGCCAGATTCTTGCCTTTGTGAATGCCTCTGGCTGGTTCTAGTTTGACCTTCTATCTACTACCCACTATTACGAGGTTTTTGTGGATTCAAAACGACTTTCTAGCTAATTGAAGAGGACTCGTCCTCCCTCCACCTTAACAAACTAAATAACGTTAGACATAGAAACTAAAGTTACCATATCAGTACATCTACATTAGAGCAATGACGCTAAAATAATTAATATTAATAGAACAATTTAAATAAAATGCTACATGGTAGCTAAAAAACACTCTTAAGTATCACTTTGTTAAATAAACGCACCCATTTATAAAAAATTATCGAATTTCCACATCATGGTATGGTATGGAATCAACATATATTAAATTGGGAAATATGTTAGTAGTGCAGTTAAGTAAGAATCAATTGATAAACAAGGATTGAGCCATTCAAATAACTAAAATACAGAAGTAAACTTATGCTATTCTGTGGAAAAGAAACTCAACTCAATAGCATCTCTTTAAACAGTTATAAATAGATAACCAATCGTATCCGTTCAACTGTTCATTCGTAAAAGCAAATGGTTATTGGTAGCCTGAGACCACTTTGCAAATCTTTCTCGATCTATTATTCTAACACAGTTTATAGTTACTTCTCAGCTAGCTTGCTTAGCTTTATAAGAAATAAATCCTATTCTAAACATGCTTACTCACATAGGTAATGCAACACGATCCTGGCCGCCCAAAATAGAGCACATAATATTAATTATCTGCTCTATTTTTATCATGCACTCACCAAACACTGTCCTATTATTGTTGGTTTTCTCTTCAAGTGTACTACGTCAATTCTGTGGTAAGTCAACTTAATTAGGGCCAACACTGCCACTAACATATATCTTTACTTCTATTTATAGATAATGTATATAAACTTTTCATGAATGTGAATGTGAATGTTGTGAATTTAGAATCATTTTTTTTGCGTAATATATCATGCCAGATCTAAGTATATTACAATTTCTAATACTATATAAAATATGTAACCACAATAATATCAATCAATAAATACTTGTTCGGGAGTGTTCTCTTTTGCTAATACTTAGTTCATAACGTGTTCCTTAATGTTGAAACTAAAGAGAGTCCTTTAGAATTGAATGCAATATTCATATAAACAAACACCTTCTCCTGTCAAAACAAAGTCACTTCATGATCTAATCAAACAGAACCACAACCTTTTAAAGGACCCCAATTAGGAAGTAACGCATGCAATCAAAAGCTAACATTTAAAACAAATACTTCAGCTTCAAGTTCAATCTAATTAACTAAATGCAATAAGAACAGGTCTTAATTATAATAAATTATACTACTAAGCAACAGTAACAAAATTAAGTATGTTAATTAAGCTGCCGGCATGAGTTAGACGCATTCTCAATTCAGTACTGCAGCAGTGCGTTTATCGACGCAGGTCCAGCAAAAAAGCGGCAGCATTAATTTATGATAAAATGTCGTGATGTTGCTTTAAAATATTTGTGCGGCCACATGTCCGTCCGTCCGTTCATCTGTCAGTTTAAGATCAATTAATAGGAAAAAATTCTAGATCAAGGTGAAAACATAGAAAAATATACACGAGTATGTAAGTGTTTATACGAAATTGCTTATGTAAAGTCAATAATAAAAAAATAATTTCAATTTTCTAGATAAGAATTAGAAACTGCGTATTTGTCAGGCAAAAGCGGATTTTATATATAATTATTTTTTTTTTTTTTTTTACAATATTGTTGTTAATTCAACTAAAATTCTTATGCGTTGTAATAAGTCAGCCCGCATGAGAGGTAGTTGTAGACCGCACGCCTTAGCATGCAACATTACATCACCTGCGCTATAATTACTGAGCTACGGGCCATAATTCAAAACAGGTTGATCTGATTATATGTAAGATGCGGTATTTATTTAATTTATTAGTTACTAAATTGTTCTGAAGCATTAAATCAGCATTGCTGCCAATTCGTAATATTTTCATGCCAACATCTCTGCAGCCTGTCAGAAAGTGCTTCCTATAGAGCCAACACTACTGGCTTCAATGACAGGGTATTATGATTATGATTGCATCGTGGTACGTTGATTGCAGTAAAATAAATTTTAATTATAGCTACACAGATTTATTATAGATCTACAATTATTAGGTGTGTTCAAGGGTCTTAAATCAAATCAGGCGTATGGCGGTCAGTATAATGTTCTCACTCCATTCAGAATTGTAAAACATTAACCATTGCCTATTAACTAATTTCAGTCTAGTATGTAAACCTGCGATTAATTAATAAATTGAAAAGGTGCAATACCGGTGGTAAGAGTAAAAGCAAAAGCGATCATAAAATTTATCTTCAAAATGAAAAAATAATTGCGAAGAATGTTATTAAAAATATATATAGTTACTTCATATATAACATATATGAACATATATCATGAAGACAGAAAAGTATGTTTTCTGTTTTTATCAAAATAAAGGATGATTAAAGAACCGCTGGCCGAACAAGAATACAGTTAAAAGCTATCAATAATCGAAAGCGATCCACTTACATGGTTATCGACTCATGCTCATGGTGCATTGCCTAATGACAATACCCGAACACGGTGAAGGCTAGTCACCTGAGAAACGCCAAAAACAAAAAGATATATACTTTGCCCTACAGACTAAACTCTATCTGATGGTATTAGATTAAATTGATCTGCTGGTATACCTTTCGCCCTGATGAGGAAGTCAACAATTTCAAAACTTTTGTGTAGCAAAGAACTGCAGAAATTAATGTACACATTTGTTGGAAATGTATAATCATAATTGAATAGTAGGCTATTCTTATTTGATTAACTGTATTTAACATTTTGTAAAAATATAGAAATAGATTAACTTTTGACTTCCGATAAGAATAAAGTTAAATTGTAAAAACACAAATTAACAGTTGGCGACGAGGAAATGGATGCTCAGGCACTCGCGACAGTTCTAAAAGAGTTCTCATTAGCAAATCAAGAATTTTTTGAGAAAATATTAAACAAAAATGAAGAAGTATTGAGAAGCGTAATTAACGGGAAAAAATCCGCTAATTCAACTCCAACCTTTCGACGGTTTGAGAAAAATGTTGAAAAGTGGTCGATATATATTCAGCAGATGCATCAACATTTTGTGGCACATCAAGTGAAAGACGATGTATTAAAACGCGCATGTTTCCTTTCGTGGATAGGTACAGAGACATTTGAACTTATTCAAAAGTTATGTGACAATAATATAGAGAATAAGTCTTTTGGTGAACTACTAGCAAAATTGGATAATCATTTTGAGGAAAAACAGCATATATTAGCAGCACGTTTTAAATTTCATTTAATACGAATGAAAGCAAATCAATCATATGCTGAGTGGGTGGCAGAACTGCGTGGTGCGGCTAAAGAGTGCATGTTCTTATGTACTAGTGAAACTTGCCAGCAATCGTTTATAGATAATTGTATACGAGTTATGGTTGTGATACACACACCACACGATAAAGTCCGTAGTGCCGCGTTGCAGAAAACAAACCCATCGCTAGAGGAAGTACTGCAGATAGCAGCAATATATGAAGCAACGGTTAAAACTTGTAACGAAGTTAGAGGTGAAGAAATCAGTCAAACAGTTAATGAAGTTAATCACAGTTCAAGTAAGAAAGTTAAACAGAATCGAAGTAATATTAAGTCCCGAAATTCAGTGAAGGGAGGACAATCGTGTCCAGCTTGTGGGAAAGCACATCAAAGAAATCAATGTTATCATTACAAGAACAAAACAAAGTGTCGGTTATGTACAAAGCAAGGTCATATTGCTGCAGTTTGTCAATCAGCAGTGACAGGTATTCAGCAGAATTCTAATTTTAAAATTCGAAGACAGGAACAAAATAGAGCAAGAGATGTATATTCTATGAGTGATGTTTCATTTGAGTCAATTAATGCGAATGAAACAACGGAAGTTAAATCAGTTGATTCGCAACTTAGTTCATCTAAAATTTTCGTTGACCTCAATATAAATAACGAAATTTTAACATTTCAAGTAGATACTGGTGCAACATGTTCCTTAATTGGTTTGGCGGCATATAAACAACTGGGTAGACCTAGTTGTGGGCCTACGAATAAAGTTCTGAGAGCGTATGGAGGAGCTGTTATTTTTCTTAAGGGTTCTCTCAGAGTAAATGTCAAGTATGGAAAAATTACTCGAAGCCTTGAGATACTTGTAGTTAACGATGAATATGTTACTAACATACTGGGATTGGATTTGTTTACAGTATTAAATTTCAAACTGCAGTTACCTGTTATTGAATGTTATGCAAATAATCCTTGTGACAGTCAACAAAGTTTAACCGCATCTCTACATGAACTCAGATGTCAACATGCTAACATTTTTTCTTCGAAATTGGGGCGTTGTACGTTGTTCAAAGCTGAAATCAGATTGAAGTCAGATGCTAAGCCTAAATTCTTTAAACCATACAACCTGCCGTTTGCGAAAAGAGAAGACGTTCGCATCGAAATTGATCGGTTGGTAAATATTGGAGTTTTGAAAGCTATCAGAAGCAGCGTCTGGGCCGCTCCTATAGTTGTAGTGTCAAAGCCAAATGGAAAATTACGTATTTGTGCAGATTTCAGAATTGGTGTGAACTCGCAAATTGAGATTGATAGGTATTCAATTCCTAGAATTGAGGAACTTTTTTATAAACTTCAAGGAGGACAATTTTTCACAAAAATTGATCTTAGTGAAGCGTACTTGCAAGTAGAATTGTCTGACGCAACAAAAGAATTTCTAGTAATTAATACGCCATTTGGTTTGTTCCAGTTTCAACGATTGCCATTCGGTATTGCCAGTGCTCCTGGCATATTTCAACGTCTTATGGAAGAAGTAACCGCTGGAATACCGAACTGTGCAGTTTATTTAGATGATATAATCGTAACAGGTCGAAATAATAAAGAACATTTGAATAATGTTTTCAAAATTTTTCAACGTTTGGAAGAATACGGCTTGACATGTAAAAGCGAAAAATGTAGTTTTGCGCAAGAGCAGGTAGATTATGTTGGACACGTAATCAATGTGAATGGATTAATGCCCACAGGAAAACGTGTAGAGGCAATCAAATTAATGCCGCGTCCTCGTAATATTCAAGAAGTTGAAGCTTTCATTGGAAAAGTTAATTATTATAACAAATTCATTAAACAGTTTTCCATATTAGCTGCTCCTTTAAATGAACTAAGGAAAAAGAATGCTGTGTTTAAATGGACAGCATATCATGAAGATGCTTTTCAAGCATTGAAGAATGCTATGATCAAAGCTACGGAACTCGTTCATTATGATGATAAGAAGCCTATAGTGTTAGCAGTAGATGCTTCTAAGTATGGAATAGGTGCAGTAATTTCACATCGTTATGCTGATGGTTCAGAGAAGCCAATCGCGTATGCTTCAAAAAAATTAAACAGCAGCCAAGAACGCTATTCTCAAATCGAAAAAGAGGCATTAGCAATAATTTATGGAGTGACTAAGTTTCATCAATATCTTTATGGAAGACGTTTTGAATTAATAACTGATCATCAAGCGTTGACAACACTGTTTAATCCGAATAGAAAGTTGCCAGTGATGGCGTTGCATCGTTTACGGCGTTGGGCTATTGTACTTCAAGCATATGAATACATTATACGGTTCAAAAGTTCATCTCAGAATGCTAACGCTGATGCTCTTTCCAGATTGCCGTGTGGGGATGACATACAATTTGATAGAAAGGAAGTTGTGATGTTAGATGATGTCGATACTGTTTATCAAAATGCTGTGGATTATCTTCCAGTAAATGCAACATAAGTAAAGGATATGACTGCTAATGACAACACTCTTCAACGTGTCAGCAGATATGTACAAGATGGTTGGCCTGAACAATTGCCGAAATCTGAAGGTAGTATCAAACCGTACTTTAATCGCAGATTTTGCTTATCATTTCAGAATGGAGTGTTACTTCTTCAGGCTGAATATACTAGAGTGGTGCTACCGAAAGCACTGCAATCTCAAGTATTAAATTTGTTACACGAGGGTCATTGGGGTAAAGGTCGTATGAAACAGATGGCAAGACGATATGTGTGGTTTTCTCTTATTGATAAAGCCATAGAACGTATTCATGATGATTGTTCATTTTGTCAACAAGGTGCAAGTCAACCAAAGCGAGAATTTTCTGCATGGCCAGAACCTAGTAGGCCGTGGGAAAGAGTTCATTTGGATTTCGCGGGTCCATTCTTTAAACGTATGTGGCTCATAGTTGTGGATGCATATTCAAAATTTCCATATATTGTGGAACTATCAACAATAACAGCTGTAACAACAGTTGGAGAGTGTTAGCTCGTAATTATTCGGGATCGCATAAATGGATCAGAGGCGTGATACAGAAATTGCTGGGAAATAAAATGTATTTTATTCAATAATACAATAATCACTACTGGATCTGACTTGAAACAAAATCAAAGAGAGAAAGACGACAAAGCGGAGTCCGACGACAGATATGGGTCCACACACACTGATCAGTTGCCAGTTCAATTAAGACGGTCGGTTAGAAGGAGAAGACAACCTGTTCGTTTTAATCTTGAATAAACAAAATTCAATGTCATGTTAAACATTACTTTAGTGGTTTCAAAAATTAGGTCCAAGAGAATGTTGGAAATGTATAATCATAATTGAATAGTAGGCTATTCTTATTTGATTAACTGTATTTAACATTTTGTAAAAATATAGAAATAGATTAACTTTTGACTTCCGATAAGAATAAAGTTAAATTGTAAAAACACAAATTAACAACATTGAAGGTAGAAAATGATAGATGATTTGTTTGATGATTTGTGCTATGATAGAGCACAAAAAAGTTTTCATATACTATTGTAAATCGTCGTATTGTAGTTAATATTGTTGACATCTGCTGCATGTTAAAACGATATTGAGCCATATATTCTGCGTGCAAAATCCTTGTTATAGAATTAGTGGATATGCAATGCAACTAAGTGTGTGATAAATAATGGTCACTTGTAACGTGACATTACCAGATTATCACCAGGTTAAGCAACAAACTCACCCATTTGACTTTAACGACGCGCCACTTCTTAGTAAGATAGAGCTTAGCCTGCTAGATTGCTTCATATCACTTCTTTACTTATTTTTGCACAAAAACAAGATGAGACTATCTAAAGTGATAGAAAGTTATTTTATAACCGTAGAGAATCTTCTGAGGTGATAGAATGTTAGCTTTACCTATAGCGGGATGAAAACATCTCCACGTCGTTTGTGACTGTCCGGTTACAGTTTGAAATATTGTGACGAGAGCGCTCTGACTTACCCGATATTAAAGACTGTTTAACGAAAAAACTGTATGTTTTTCATTCGATGAAGGTTGGTTATAGCATAAAATAGGTACTCTTTATGGACACATTACCGTTTTCGCTTTGCATATTATACGAGTATTCGTTCTTTATTAAATAATAAATATGGTATTTAATTAAATATGAGTTAACATGCAAGATTATATGTTATATTTTTCATTATTTTAATTTCTAATGCCTAAATAAGGAAAGCAAACAAATTAAAAACAAATATGAGATAAAATACAAACGGATTCTTTGGCATAAAGCAAATTAGGGGTTATCACATAATTGACAGAAAAGTAGTTATACACTATCTAGAATAAGATCGAAATATCTTTCTTAATTAAGAATCATAAAAATGGTCATAATTTTTATCACTCATGTCGTTTACTATTCTTTCAATGAAAATTACTGATGCCGTGATATTAAAGAAATTTTATGTGTTACAGTCTTACTACTTAAGTCATTTGCCCTTAGAGGACATTTATTATTTAGTTATGTCATATATATAATAATATATGACAATGACAATGACCTGAGCTGTACATTTCATTGGTATATATTTCCTTATATGAACCTATAGGTTTTGTGAATCTTTGTGATAAAAAAGAGTTTTGAAAAAAAACCATTTTATTATTTTTGACAACTTATATATTGCTTTTGGACACGTACTTTCTGCAGCATTACATAATCATTTATGGGAATGCCCAAATACTTTACAAAAAGCAAGAGTTTTCCGAGTAATGCTGAGAGCAAAACAACTCTGATAAAGTCATTAAATAGTTAATGGTATGTTTTCCCACAACTCGCAAAATGAAAATTGCATATCTTCGCAATGAAATTGTAATCCTTGAAGCAAATTAAACCCAAAATTGGAAGGCAAAGAAAAAACTGTTGAATTCTGTTAATAATTATGGCGTGACTTTTAAATGCGAAATGAATAAAAATTCCATTAGAGTAGGAAAAAAATCACGTGAAAGCGAAGCAATAGGAGATGCGTGCATATGCATGCTTTGATAATAAATTAAAAACGCCGCCATTTACAAATAAGTACAACGTGCAAATAAATTGAAAATGGCCACAGCAACAATTCACAATAGAAGCAATTGCAGCAATTGCAGCACTGCAATTATAACCATCGCTTTACCAATAAAGTCTATTTGTTGGTAAAGCGTTGCGCTATTGCTGAGTTGCTGAGTTGCTGAGTTGCATGCATTAAAAGTAGATACAATTTTCTGCTGCTGTTATAAATGTAGAAATATGTTGCACATAAAGTAGCGATATTGGTGATTATTGTAGCAGCTCATAAATGCGGCTCATTGCATAAAATAGCACAGCTGCTACTGAAAAACTCCAAGACTTTAAGACTTCGAGACTGCAAGACTGCAAGACTGCACAACTGCCAAAGTGTCAAATTGCTGAACGGACTGACCGACTATCAGTCCAGATACTCACTGCTACTGGGTCAGAAATCCATTGAATCGGCGCATATGTATTTAATTAAAAATTGTGTGTGTTTATTTATTTTATTTCATATTGCACTTTTTTGTTTTTTTTTTGTTTCGTTAATTTTTTCTTCTTCTTGTGCATGTTGCATTTTGTATTTTGTATTTTGTATTTTTAGTTGCGCCTCCTTTTGTAAGTGTGCCAATAAAAATGTGTTTACGTCTTTCAATGGTTTTCCTCTGCAATTTATTCGCCTTAATCACTGCCAACATATGAACAGTGAAGTGAAATACTTAAATTTTTTTAATTTATTTTATTAACCTGGCTTTAATAGCTTTGGTGTTGCACTCATAAATGTGGCAATTAGACGAGTCAGTTGCAGGCTAGCAGGAAAATAAAATTAAACATTTCATTTAAAGCTGCTATTTGCAGCAAAAATAGTACACAGAAATGGATTGCAGAGGCCGAGTTTGAATATTATAAAAACTGTAATACATTATGCTATAAAAATGTATAAGGAACAAACTACAAAAGACATAAAGAGGAAGATTTGTGTACCAACAGATATCTTAACCGTTTTTCATTGTAATAAAACTACACAAACTCTTTTATGCTTGATCTTTATACTAGTTTACAATACCCAATAGAAATTTACAATCGAAATACACAATGAAACAGAACAGCTGGTTGCCAAGTTAAAGATATGCTAGTACGTACTAATAATCGCAGACGAATTCACACAAAAAATTAACTAACAGAAATGGATATACCCCAAAATTATCTCAAAAAGTATTAATTTTCAGTTGCCAAAATACTTTTACTACAACAATGGTACGATATGGGACAACACTAAATATAGGTATAGTAAAACATGCTTTACTACACATAGTATAGTAAGAAAGGGTCAAAAAATATCGCTCCCGATTTCGCACATAATCATTAACAGTTAACTACAGTTACTTAACTGTAACTGTACCATTTGCTTAGTAGATTCTTACAGGCTATTAATAACGAAGTAAATGTTATATATTAAGTTCGTAATGTAGATCGTAATGTTGGAAACTAAAAATAACACTTCTACTTGATTAAATTGTTAAAAAAATCTAACTAAAGCAGGGTTTCATTTGGTATTACTTTCGCTACTTAAAACTTTTATCATCAAAAATTGCATTTATCAATCAACCATTTATAAGCAATCATTTGGTAATATCAGATACGTGGGACATATTTTTTCGAGTGACCACATTGATACTCTGTATCGTATTTTGTTCGTCATTTCGTTACTGCTACATTTGGTGTTGCTATTAAGGAACTCAATATTTAATAGTTTTCATGAAAAGCCCTGATTGAGAGCATGGACAGCTTGTGAAAATCGTGTGATATGTCCTAAACCATAATACTACCTAGCATGCTTTATTGATAGTATGCTTTACTGATAGTATGCTTTATTAATCTGAACTCACATTTATTATGCACTTAAATAGTGCAATTAAGATATATTATTTCAAACATTAAAAACTTAGAAAAAAATCTGAAAAAGATAATAAACTCATTTGGGAATACAATTAAAGATAAGTTTTAAGTGTTTGATCAAATTTGAGTTGTGTTAACGATCCCATAAAAACCACTTTTATTTTACTTCAAACCTTTACAATAATATCTGTAAGACAATACTCAATGGAAGCCTGTTTTGACGAGTACACATTATGGTCAATCAATTAGAGACGTATTTCATGAGTTTTAAAAATGTTTGCCGATTTTCAGTAATTTCAGTAATGATGAAATATTAATCAATTATTGTATGACCATTATGCTTTCTCAAAAACTTTAGTCCAGACATTCCCGATTCATAGCCTTCATGGTATTCCAGATTCTTACTATTCACTATTCAGATTACTTTTTGGCATACGAAAGAATACTTATTTTATCAGAGCTAACCAGAACTGCATCAAAAACTGCTTTTATAGGCCCTCAACCCTTTTGTGGAATAAACTTTGCCAGTACAAAACAGATTGTCAAGGAAATGGAAAATCATATGCGGCTGGAGTACTGGGTAAACTTTCCAGGACTCAGACAAAACAAAGCACTGATAACACCGTACTCCTACAAAGACTTTCTTAAATTCTCAAAATGTAATTTAAGGTTGATAACAGGTTTCATTACAGGTCATTATGGTCTGAAATATCACCTTCATAAACTACAATTATCTGCTAACTCGGAATGCAGATTATGCCTCGAAGATGAGGAAACGACCATGCATATTCTTTGTGAATGCCCAGCTTTAATAACGCTCAGAAGAAACT